CCCCAAAACCCCAAAACCCCAAAACCCCTTATGATTTTGTAGAAACTTGTTTCTTAGCTTTAAAATATTTTATTCATGTTATATAATGTATAAATTTTATCACCAAGTCTCACTGAGTGATTGATTCTAGATTCAATGCCCATCATCTCAATACTCCTCTATATCCTCGAACTTAATCTGCTCTTCTCCTTCCACTAACGATTACTACTCGACCTGCTTCTCATTCTTGTTGATCCTGTTCTTAAATTTAGTATCTAGTTCTTTACTATGTGCTTTAAGGAAGGATTTCTATTGAGATTGAGTAGCAAGTTAGACACTCTCAAAGTTATGAGTCATGCTATCATCTTATGACTACTAAAGTGAACTATTAGCTTCCCTTATGAATGGTATTTATTAGTTCTAGCTATATTGCTATTGTTAAATTTCATCGAAATCTAGTTCTTCAACATCATCTATATTCTAGATCATAACATCCTAGTTACGTTGAAGTTACTACTCCTCGCTCATTTCTAGATCCTAGCCATCATAAATATGGAAGTTTAGTCGCTATTACTCATGATTATTAGAAGTCATAAAATCCAATGTTCTCTGGTTTTGAATTAAAAGTTCATTCTATTTATCTTCCTCTATATTTGTAAAGTCTCCCTAATTCTTCTTTTGACTGCTTTAATTCTTGTAATCCCTCATTTGCTGTTTCTTTTGCATTTTATCGAAATACTTCTCCATACTCTCATCATTCAAATCTTCACCCTCAACTCTTGAAGATGATTGTGGCAAGTTTTTAAATGACTTTTAGAATATCATCTAATCAGCTGTCTGAAAATCTTTTGTTTCCTTATCTTAATTGTATTAATCCTCATCGTCTCTAACTTTTATTGCAGAACTCTAGAGATGACTTTGAGTTTTCAACTGCACTTAATGAGACTTCTTAGCTATGCTACTATTGTTGTTTATAGGTATTTAATTCTGCTAATCTTTGGCATCAGAGTAATCTTGGAAATCCTTACTATTTCTCATCATATCTTTTATATTTGTATGCTAATTCAATACTTATGAAGAATTGTTGCTTGAGGCAGGCTTGAGCTTTGCTTATTTATACTTATATTTACCCTATTTTTTCTCCTCGATTGATATAAGATTTCTTTGTGATTGCAAATCAATTCTATTGGTTGGCTATTCTTCCTCAAAACCATAGAATTGCTTAGCAGAAATGTGCTATACACTACTCTATTTGGAAGGCTTATCTACAATTCTATTGCTTTAGGCTCTATCATCATAATCATTTGGATGGTCATTATCTTGATAGTCCTAAACTGGTTATATTTAAGCATCCTAATTTCTATAGGTGTTTATTGAATTTATCTAGAAGTTTGACTACAATTCGTCATCTTAAATCTATATTGGAGAATCATTATTCTGCTTATTATCTATTGATTATAAACTTCGTTCACTTCTTTATCTACTCTACCCGCCCCTACTTAATTTTGACTTAGGCACTCTTTGCTGATTTTTCATAGATCTGTATCTTGATGATGATTTTCTTTAGGATTTACTTGCATGAGCTTCATTCATGTTTTCTTAATTATCTTGCTTGCTTAGAGATTTCCGACTTAACTACTGAACTTGCTAATGAATCATTGATGTCATATCAGGTATATTAATACTGCTATGATTTCTAGGCTCAAATTTTACTTCCTCTTCTCCCTCAATAAGTATATTATTTGTGTTATGAAAATTTGAATTTCTTTAAGAATGAATAGATCTTCTTCTATTCGATGGGCCTTGAGAATTTGGATTGTCTTCATAATCTAAGTCAATCTCTTCTCCTAATCTATTTATTTGATATTCCTCAAGTCCCTCACTCTGGAAAGCAGTATGCATCTACTTTTCAATTCTAATTTAAGACTCATTCTTTGATTTTTTTAATAGCTTTTTCCTATCTGGTAAAAACTCCTCTGGAAAAAAATCAATCCCATTTTTGGTAGTCAATCCACCTTTAATAGATGATGATCTCCTTTATTTTTCATTAATATTGTTATTATTTGCTGATGATGAACAAATGCAGTTGTTAAATATTTTGATTGGGCGCTTAATCTAAATTTCAACCATTGTCCTTCCAGCTTGGATGTAGTTTGTTTCATTTATTGAAAGAGGTAAAGGATTTTTGACCATACACAAGGTTCCAAATTTAGATCGATTATCCTCAAGGACAAAATAACCCTTTGAAGTCTTTTTAAGAACAGCATGTAATCTAGATACAGAAATGTCAGTCACTCTAACATCAGCATCATGGCCTCTCCCCAACTTTATCTCATTCACATTCAGCATATTTACCACATGAATAACTTTGCTTGTATTTGAAGTGATGCTTTCAAAAACAACGTAGGTTGGCTCTTCTCCTGGTTGGTATTAGGGAACATCATATTAAATTACTCTTAAATAGATACTTTTGTTGTCTCCAGTTCGCACATGATTCGGATATTAAGTTTTACAAAGTTCACATTCTAAATTCTTCCAAAAATAGGTCTTAGTTATTTATGTCTCTTTTGTAATTTTTCTACTATTTAACCATTCTTACAGACATTACAAATGTATAAATTTCATTGTACCTTTGCACTTGCAGGGAGAAAATAAAGGATTCTCTAAATCATTCTCCTCAGATAAACAAATTCTGCAAAGAGGTATTCCTCCACTAGTTTATGATGTCTCTCTTATGACTAAAGGTGCAATAACCTCCTTGCCTTTAGGTAAGATGACATTTGCAGCTAAGGAATTATTCTAAAACAAATTTCCATCTTATTCGCTTATCCCATGCTCCATTTGATTATTATCAGTTTCAGTGATGTCATTTTCATTCTTTTTCTTAATTGCTACTCAGCCTGAGGTTCGTATATTAAAGTATTTTTTGCTTTTAACTGTATGTCTCATTTGCATTTTCCTGTAGGCAGGAGACTGCACTTCTCTAACTTTGAATCTGACCCTTCCAAGTTTGAGTAAGTCATCTGGAAGGAGTTTGTACCCATTAATGGTTCCATTAGATATTGTGCAATATTTAACAATTCTCCAGAGTTTCAACTCAGGCATTTTCTCATTGTCTTCATCTTCTTCATCGATAGTAGAAGAATGAAATATCCAATAGGCACCTGCAATTTAGTCATTAATATGATTATTATGAAAAATTAGACTTACCATTTTTTTCGACCACTTTAGCAATTTAAGTTTATGGTACTTCCTCTTCCTTGCTTTCTTATAAATTTTCATCTACATCATCGTACTTGATATCAATATTGACTTCATGCCTCATTAATGAAACTACATGAAATTTATTAGTTTACAAAAATCATATAGGCCAATATGATTGAAAAATTTCAAGCATTCATATTATAAAACATGAAAATAATTACAAGTGCCAAAAGCCTTAAGTTATTTTTTATCTTGATCTTTTCCCTCATAGTCGAATAAACCATGCGAATCTCTCTGCCAAGTGATCGTTTTAATGACTAATCTAAAAGCTGATAATTAGGGAGAGGATTTACTCAGGCTGCTAATTCTGATTTTTGCTCTTACAAACACCCATTAATATTATTACTGCAGATAGAATTATTCTTTGATTTTTAAATAGTATATTAAATTCAATTTATATAGTAATTAATTCTAATTATTATCAGTATATTTAATGAAACAGCAGTATATTTTAGCTTGCTCTGTAGAGTTGCAGCCAAATATTATCAATAAGATCATGCTAGAGAAAGAGCTAAAAAGACATCAGGAATCAATTAGGAACATCAAGTAAAGAGCTCCTTCTGACTTATCACCGACAAAGTCTTTTTATAAAATTGATGATTCCAAGAGGTAGCAACTGTCTGAGGGTAAATTATCTTTGTAAATAATATGACATGTATGATTAGATCGTTATACAGAAATTGAATGAGAAAATAAAATCCTTCTGGAAAAAATGAAGAAAATTATTAGAACTAAAAGATCCAAATCTGTAAACAAATCATTATCCTATTGGCTACCCACATCTAATTGAGATATCCTTAATAAATCTCTAAATCAAAGTAAAAGAAAGCAGCAACTAATGTAAATTGCTTTAGAGAATCAAAGCATTTTGAAAAGATTGCAATCATCATCATCAAAATATGAAAACTCATCATTCGAAAGGCACAGTAAAAAATGATCCTAGCTACTTAAGGATATTTCTAAATTTGATACAAATAAAGCCAATATTACATCCCTTTCTGGTACTGGCAAATAAATCTTAACATTTAATTCAACGTAGCAGGATGATACTATGAACATATTAAAAAATAAAGTCAAATCAATGTCATTGACTCATTTTAGTCAGCATGAATCTGCTTCTGGATCTTATAGTAAAAACACCTCCTAATTCGATATAAGCAAATAATTTTAGTACACTAATAATCCAGTTTATCTTAAGATCGAAAATCAAAAATAATTCTTCTAAAAAAGGAAGTTAGAATAAACTAAGGGCCTGTTCAAGCAAGCAGAAAATCTCGAAATAAACAGGGTAGTACATTTTAAAAAAGGAGGTTTTATTGGTAAAGGTTACTACATAATTGAAATCTCTTCAAGTAATAAGTAAGTAAAACATCTTCATGACTAAAATATAGTGAATTATTCGTAGCTGCCTTTGATGTGGAAGGTCCTTAGAGTTTTTTAATAAGCATTCCCAAAATAAAGGCACTTGATTTAATGAATATTTTCAACAATGATTTTGACTTAATTGCTAAAAACCTTAAGATTTATAAAGGGCAACTGCATTTAATAGCTCCAGTAAGATTTTAAACTGCATTATTTATCATTTTAGAGCCTTAAACTAAATCAGAATTCTCCTGTCAAAGATCCTAATGTGAGTTAAGAGCAGTAAAATTAGATAGACTAGGTGAAAAAGATTATATTTAAGAATTAAGTATATCATTAGAGAGGGCCTAATAAAAATGAAAGCAGAAAGAGCTAGAAATAAGGAATATTAGGAAATTTCAAAAAGAAATAAGAGAAGATAGCTAACGATCCTTTTGAGGCATCATAACTATGACATAATACTTTATTTCATTATATACTTTTATAACTTTGAGAAATTTCTTAATATATCAAGTTTAATTGCCTTAATTAAATGATGGGGTTTTGGGGTTTTGGGG